AGTTTATTATCCTAAAGTTTTGTGGTTTTCAACATTTGGTACATGAAGTTTTTTACATCCCAGAGTCATACCTCAAGTCTTAATTTTGGGAAAATTTCATACATCCGTTAAGTTGGTTGTTAAGTCAACCGTTACTGATGACGTGGCTCCTACATGAATAATGATTGGCCACCACGTGTCAATATAGGCCCACGTAGATATTAAAAAAAATTAAAAACATTAAAAATTAAAAATTAAAAACGAAACCTAAATTTAAACCCTTTCCCATCACCCAGACCCCTTCTTCCTCCTTCGTCCTTGCCCACTCGGTCTCCCTCCTCCGCCTCTCTCCCCACTCGCACTCATCATTCCCTTACCACCACCTTCCAACCCGACCAATCCCTATCACTCCCCGATCCCGACATACGTCCAGGATCAACACGTGATGTCACCAAATACTCGTATATCTAACATACCCCGCCACCGGGATATGAATAAATCACCACTCAAGGTCCAAATTGCATAGTGATTTCCAAATATTTTATGGCTGCATCTAACCTCCTCGTTAGACTGCCTACATACCCTCAACAGGGATCAAGCCCTTCGTAGTTCACCATTTCACTATACTCGAACATTCATCACATAAGTCGTTATGTCCCAACAAAATATCACAATGTATATCATGCAATCCTTCAAAGAACAAACGACGAAGCACAATCATATTCTCTCGTCATAATTCCCCACTTGGATTATGAGTAATAAACATGGTAATTCTATTTTATATTCATAATATCTATTGTGGGTAATTCCCATCCACTCGAATTTAGGATTCTAAGATCACCTTAAGGAAATCAACAAGAGAAAGGATTCCGAACCACTTGATGAAATCCCACAACATCGGGTTCCGGATCACTCAATGGAACCAAAATATCAAGCGGTTTTATCGTAATCTACCCAGACCTGTCATATGTGAAGTCAATGCCTACATTATGGGATTGGTGCACTGGCAATTCAGGCACTCAAATACGCTGCGAGGCTCAGGTGAGTGACAATAATATAAGCATGTGATACAATAATAAAACCAGCCATCAATCACAATTTATAAACCTTGAATATAAATCATTCATAAGAAATCAATACCAAACTTTTGAAAACTCCAAGGGAGTCACCCAAACATCCAACGGTTCATCTGAAACAATCACCACATCTCACAACCATATTCTCATACACACAATGAAAAGTAGGGTTAAAGCGACACAGTTCGGCCGAAGTGTGCATCTTTAAAGCTATTTCAATCCAAACTCAATGAAACCCAAAAGGGATGTGATCCCGGACCATCACTCAACGAAATTGCAGAGTAAAAGGGATTACGGACCATCACTCAACGAAATCCAAACCAGGATACGATTCCGGACCATCACTCAACGGAATCGCGGAGTGGAGTAGGAAAGATTCTGGACCATCACTTAACGGAATCCAAACCAGGACATGATTCCGGACCATCACTTAACGGAATTGTGGAGCGCAATGCATAACAACCAATCAATGAAACAACACGTGAATCAAGTTGCTCAAGTTATAAAAGCTCAACGAAATAAGAAATGAAATAATGAAACGAGCGTTGACACATGTTTCGAAGCAACAAACCCTATGACAATGGGTTAACGGTCCACTAATAGCCCTCACCTTTCATCAAATCAAGCCAATAATACAAAACAAACCATATTTCCAATATGCACGTCAAATCCCACTTCATATAACTACATCGATGACTAAATATAAAAATTAACAATTTATAGGAAACATAATTATAAAACCATTTCATATTCACATATATTTAAGTCACTCACATTTCATCATATCATACCATCTATGTAAATCAACCACCTTTCAAATCAATATCACGATCATCATCAGTACACAAGCCAAATCATGTTTAATAAACATAGGTCTATGGCTAAATATATATATATATATATATATATATATATATAATCACATTTCAATAGAAATCACATTATAAAACTAAGTCATATTCACAGGTGATACCAATATAAGAAATCAAGGTAATAACCATATCACATATGTTAAAGTTTAATGACGATCCAACGGTCGGATCATCGATTCACACTTTTACCAATTAACGTACGTAGAGAATTTAGGTTCCAACCATTAACCTATGTCATAAAATTACCAAAAATGAGCTCAAGGCATCTAATTTAGCCTAACAGTGACATCGACGGCCCCCTAGCCACGCGCTGCCGTGGGTGGTGGTCGGTCGTCCTGACTCGCCGGAAAAATCCAATTATTTCCAAAATTTACAAGAATGAAGATCTCAAATAGAGGAACAACTTTCATACCTGCCACAAAGTCTAAAAGTGGACGGAAGGGGGTCAATTTTTCCTATAAAGCTGACGGGTGCCTAAAACTTCCCGACTTCGATTCGTCGTCTACAGTGGTCCAATAGGGTCAAGGTTGGTTCGGATTTTCTCCTGGGATGATGGGCTTTGCCGGAAAATTGAAAAAGGTGGTTGGAGTACTATTGATTTTTGTTGAATTTCGTGGCCTCAATCCGCCACATACCGTGGGTTATCAAGGTGGTTCATGGGTGGGTTTTGTAGAGGGGAATGAGAGCTTCAAGGTGGTGGTGGTGGCGTCGAAAATCTCCACCAAAGTTGGCCGGAATCGGCCTTGGAAAATGGGAGCTCGCGGTGGGTGTGGGTCGACGGGAAGGCTACTCCCCCTTCTTTTTTTTTCTTCTTCTTCTTTTCTCATTTCTCATTGGTCCTCCATCCCTCTTGTAATTTGATTGGTCCCTTTCTCTCTTTACTTAAGGCTGATTAGTTAGTCTTCCCACAAGGTGAGAGTTCAAATAATTTAACTACCTTTAATTAACCAACTTCAAACGTCCATAATTATACCGCTATAATCCGGACTCGCAAACGGCTTTCGCCTATCCGTTCGTGGGATCGAGCTCTATTCAGAAATATAAACTGTGACCTCGAAAGATCTACGGCTTTTAAATAATTAATTTCCAAACTTCAAACTTCGCAACTGGTTTAATTAAAATCTAAATTCAAATAAATTAATACAAATTCCCGAAAATAACATAAAATTTCAATAATAATAATGCGTAGATTATAACAGTGAAATCCGGGAATAGGATTTCACAATCCCTCCCCTAATCCCTCCATACCCAACTCATCCCTCCCCTAATCCTTTCATACCTAAACCAACCCGACTCGGTCTCCCTGCAACGTGTTCGAAATCGAGGAGGCCCTGACCTCGTTGAGGAAGATCACGCAGTCCAGAGATGATGCCCTGACCCGACTCTGCACCTCGCAATGCGTGATCCTTGGATTTGGTCTGCTATTCCAGTGGCAGAGAGCTTCATTGGTGCGATGTGTTGTTGTGATGTGATGGGTTAAAGGTGATGCACAATGGAGAACACAAGAGAGAGGACTTTCGGATCATTTTTTTTTGTAGTCGTAGATCTCTTTTTTTGTTGTTGCAAATCTCCAGAGACCTATGGGCTATGGCTTTCTGCTCTGGTTTGAAATCTCCGTGATGAATGCCTCGTTGTTGTTGTCGACGGAGAAGAAAGGGAGAGAACTCAGGCCGTGGTGGTGCTGGTTTTCAAATCAGCTGTGGTGGCTGTCGAAGAGAAGAAGAAAAAGGGTTGGTGTGGGTGGAGGAAAGGGAAGGCCCGCATCCCTAGACCATTTTTTGTTTGTTTATTTTTTTAATTTATAATTTTTTAAATTTATGTGGGCCTATATTGACATGTGGGATATAGTCATTGTCCACATAAGTGCTACATCACTAGTTAACAGTTGACTTAACAACCAAATTAACGGATGTATGATATTATTCCAAAATTAAGACTTGAGGTATGATTTTGGAATGAAAGAAACTTCATGTACCAAATATTAAAAACCACCAAACTTCATTGTAGTAAAATAAGATTAATCCAAATTAATTTAAAATATTAATATAGCTTAATCGTAATTATTCACGTATTATATTTGAAAAGGAAAAAAAGAGAAATTAAGAGGGTATAAAATCATCCATGAGGCTAGGTCTCAGCCAGCACAGTTTGTACTAGGGGTGGTTCGGTATGGGATACCATACCGAAACTAGTATCCCGAATCTCAAACCGAAATTTTTCGGGACGGGAATTTGAAGACCAATCCCAAACCAAATTTTCGGGAATCCCAAATTTCGGGAATCCCGAAATATTTTCAGGATTTTGGGACAAATCGGGAATCCCAAATTGAAATATGAAATTATGAATTGTTCTTCAAATATATAATTCAAGAACACATTTATGAACTAGGAATTTCATTTCATTGACACTACCATTTAATTGAACACTGGCATGCTTGACTCTTTTTATCATAGTCAAAATTCAAATTAATTAAACTCTTTTTGCAATCTGTTGAGAGACAAAAGAATCAAGCCTTCTGAAATCATCAGTCATGGCAGCAGCAATAATAAAATCCACATGAATATCAAACAGAACATGAAAAATATGCAAGGTGTAGGGCATTCTAGGTTGCTGAATATATATATATGTATAAATATATATAGTAATTAATATTATATATTTTCGGTTTGGTATGGGATTCCCGAAATATCGAGAAGCCAATCCCGAATCCCATACCGAAATTTTGGGATTGGTTTGGGATAGCATCCCGAAAATTTCGGGAATTTCGGTTTGGGAAATTTTTGGTTTGGGATCGGGATTTTTTCGGTTCGGTTCGGGATTTTCGGGAATTTTTTCCACCCCTAGTTTGTACAGAAAATAAACTGACGGTTGGAAGATATTACAAGTTGAATAAAATAAACAAAATATAGCAGCACAGATGCTCGGATCACTTCGGATGTGGGTTTGGACTCCTTGAGGAATGCAGGTGTTTCTGGGCCCAAGACTATTCCTTTGACAGTCCTTTTTTTTTATCTCTTGAGCCATACCCAAAATAAACAATAAATAAATAGCACAATCCATTTTAAGCAAATAATGCAGCTTTAACGGCATCTAGCATCTGGAGATAAAAATTGTGAAACACAATGAAGGATGTCACTACTCTTGAACTGTATATTGTCACAATCTTTTTCGAACTTTACATTGCTGAGCTATCGAGCTTGTAGCATACTAATGGTGACTGAATTACAGGAGAAATTGGCAGGTGTTGGAGGAGAACAACTAATAGCACGGAGATTCCTATGTGTCGAAAATGCAAGTTCTTTGGAGGGTGGAAGAGGTGTAGCTTCATTGCCCTGTAGCATATGGATTACCGAAGACATTGTCGGTCGATCATCTGGCGCTTCTTGAACACACAAAAACCCTACATGGATGCACCTCAAAGCTTCATTGGGCCGGCATGTTTCCCTTACTGATTCATCAATCACCTCCATCCCTCTACCTCCTTCCCATAACTCCCATGCCTAGTTAAGAGTCAACATATAAGACCCTCGAATCTTAAAAATCAAAATAAGCAGAAGTTGACAACTTTAGTACTTACCCATCCAGCAAGAGTCGGTGAATGTTCAAAGCGATAAAAAGCAGTATTTTTCTTTCCACTTACAATCTCCAACAACAGCACTCCAAAACTAAATACATCTAGTTTCTCAGAGAAATGGCCATATCTTGCATACTCAGGTGACATGTATCCGCTGCATCAATTAATGGTAGAATAAGCAAAAGTACTAAAGTAGCAGTTGCATAAGGTTTAGACGATTGAAACCATGTGCCATATAGACTTACTATGTGCCAACAACCCTATTGGTATTTGCTTCAGTCTGATGTATCTCGAAAATTTTCGCCATTCCAAAGTCTGATATTTTGGGGTTCATCAAGCCATCCAACAAAACATTACTTGCTTTTAGGTCCCTGTGAATGATTTTCAGTCTAGAGTACTTGTGGATGTAAAGTACTCCTTGAGCGATACCTTCAATAATTCGAAAACGCTTTCCCCAATCTAATTCTGTTTTTTCACATGGATCTGATTGGATAAACCATGAAGGAAAATAAGCGAGTGTGTTTTCGAAGGAAAAACCTAATCAAATTTGAAATCCCTCAAATCAACAATATCAAAGAACATAAATCTTAGAAATAATGAGGATATACCAAACAAAAGTTTGTCCAAACTCCGATTGGGCATGTACTCGTAGATCAATAGCAGTTCCTCCTCTTCGATACAACAACCCAAGAGCCTAACAAGATTGGTATGCTGAAGCTTGGCTATAAGCTCCAACTCATTCAAAAACTCCTGAAGTCCTTGCCTTGACTTCTTCGACAGTCTTTTTATTGCTACATCTTGATTTTCTTGCAAAATCCCCTGTAGAGGAAGGGAAATGCCACAAAGAGAACCATCGCAGTACTAATATTACTTAACTAGGGAAAATGTTACTAATTATCATTTTTATCAAGAAAAATCAATGTACTTTAGCATTACAAATTAATTGGAAGGGTCACCTTATAAACTGGGCCAAAGCCTCCCTCTCCGAGTTTATTAGCTTCAGAGAAGTTGTCTGTAGCAGCTAATATTCTCTTTAAACCGAAAACTGGTAGTTCCGTATCATTCGTTCCACCTCCCGCTCCAGCTCCATAGTTTATTTGAGTCCCAACATGCTTCCTCTTATGCTCCCTGTTTCAATCTCAATGTTAGAGCATCAATCATTCGTGTATAAATGAGAAACAAAGAAAGACTTCTAGAATCCATGCTCCTGTACGTACTTCTATTCGTGTATGTTTGTGTGTATGAGAAATAAAGAAAGACAGGCAATATGGTTGCAGTACCTTCTCTTTCTCAATGTTTTCTTCCATAAGAAATAGCCAAAATTTATAGCAAGCAATCCTGCTGCTGCTGAGACCATTGCAATTATAAGGGAACGCTTCTCATTACGGCCCTTGCCGCCTGCAAATAAAATAAAATTTTCGGTTACGCAATAAAAATGATGACTCTCCAAGTAATGGTCACTCAAAACAACACGAACAATCGTTCGATTATTACTTTTTAGATACATAAGCTCAGAAGCTGCAAGTCTGATGAATAAAATTCTTCCACGACTGTCATCTTCCGCAAGTTGTTCCAGGCCCAAGAGATATCCGGTCCAAATTGAACATCCAGTATTACTATCATAAGCATGAGCTGTGCAAGAGCAGTCACTTAAGCAGACTGATCCACATTTATCAGCACTCCTAACCTCCACAGACTGTTTATTTTCAGGCATTAACATGTTATGCATTTCTAGGAACCTGTCTTCCGTCCCACACTGCAAACTCGTTTTTCTTGAACACCCATCAGAATAGTCCTGCAAATACCAGTCCGGCGGCGACCTTGGCTCAAAACCCATCAAGCAATTACAGAGGAGCCCTGATATGTCATTGCAACTCCCGAATGCTCCACAAGTCGCATGAACTTCACATTGTCTTGTTGGTTGAGACCAATACACATTCCATTGCCTTATATTCTCCAACCATGTTAGTTGCTGAACCTGCCCCGTGACAGACATCACGAGTCGAGATACTATCTTAGGATCGTAAAGAGAATAGGATAAGTAAGTTATGTTTTCATTTGTCACATAGCTGAAATTATAACTGTAATTAATCCTCATCTCAGGAATCAAGCTGAAAATGCGCGAACTTGCATTCCACGATCCGCTGGTCCAATACTCTATAGACCTATTCCACAATATGTGATATGAATTGCGTCCATCTCGGTTCATCTCAAGAGAGAAAAGACCTGGTGAAGGATCCTCGGAATTCTTCCATGAAGTGAGAATTTGGGTTTGGTTGGTAATTTTGTTGAATCCAATTTTAGCTCCGGGTAACCATGTATGAGTCGGATGATCAAAGCTTTGCCATAAAGGCTCTGAGGATGAAATAGATTCATCTAATAATACAAGATTCCCACTATCCAATAGAACTGCTTTTACTGAAGAGAAGTTGTTGGAGGTCACATTAGTAGACCAAACTGGAGTTTTTGACTCATTGGAGAGAAGTAAATTACCATCTAAGATCGTCAACACTGAAGAAAATTTATCGAAGACCGGTTGCTCCCGATTCGCCACCCAAACTATGGTACTCGCAGATACCACTTGGTTGGAGTACCATATACTGATGTAGTAGCGGCCACCTAATTCGAAGAAACCGAGCTCAAAAATCCCACCTGCAGAGACAATGGTTTGATCACCGGAGAGAGATTGGTTTGCAGTGACGGAGTCAGTTGCACTGGAAACATGGAGCTTGAGAAATAGGCATAAAAAGATAGCTGAAAGCACCAAACTTTGCTTGGTTTTGGTATCCATGGCTGCACAAAACAAATCTGCAAACAAGGGGTTTTTGAACATTAGTCATTGCAAAAGATTAAAATTTAAAAAAAATCTGGTTAGATTACATATTCAATTTAATCCCTTAAAGTGTACATTTATCAAAATTTATATTCAACTTTGTTATTTAATATGTACTTTTATGTAATCTCTCCGCATTAAATTTTAATTTTATTAATATGCACATATGTAGCTGAACATAAATGAGAAAATATTAAAAGAAATTTGTGATACAAAAATATATAAATACATAAGTGTACAGAAATGACTGTGCCGAAATATATAAAATTGGTTTTTTTGTACCAAAATATTTGTACCTACATGATTGTACCGAAATACATTAGAATGAAACTAAATGTATTATATTGAATTAATGTACCTAAATGTCAATACTATGTATCAAAATGTACGTACCGAAATGTATGTACTGAAATATAGTATATTGAATTAATGTACCTAAAAGTCAATACTCAAATAAGAGGTATTATGTCACATCCCGGCCCGGGCGGGACCACTTCCCGGGCCCGGGCGGGACCACTTCCCGGGCCCGCTCCACCACCGTAGCACAATATTGTCCGCTTTGGGCTTACCATTCCCTCACGGTTTTGTTTTTGGGAACTCACGAGCAACTTCCCAGTGGGTCACCCATCATGAGATTGCTCTAGCCCCCTTCTCGCTTAACTTCGGAGTTCCCATGGAACCCGAAACCAGTGAGTTCCTAAAAGGCCTCATGCTAGGTAAGAATGGGAATATACATTTAAGGATCATTCCCCTGAGCGATGTGGGATGTCACAATCCACCCCTCTTAGGGGCCCGACGTCCTCGTCGGCACACCACGGCCAGGGTTAGGCTCTGATACCAAATTGTCACATCCCGGCCAGGGCGGCACCACTTCCCCGGCCCGCTCCACCACCATAGCACAATATTGTCCGCTTTGGGCTTACCATTCCCTCACGGTTTTGTTTTTGGGAACTCACGAGCAACTTCCCAGTGGGTCACCCATCATGGGATTGCTCTAGCCCCCTTCTCGCTTAACTATGGAGTTCCCATGGAACCCGAAACCAGTGAGCTCCCAAATGGCCTCGTGCTAGGTAAGAATGAGAATATACATTTAAGGATCACTCTCCTGGGCGATGTGGGATGTCACATATTAGGTTCAAATCTCGTAGATGGCGAATTCTATACCAAATTAAGTTGTCCATTATGTGACTTAGCCGAACACCCTCTCGCCTTAATGTAAAATACATCGTTGTACTAAAAAAAAAAAAAACTCAAACGTGTGTGTCAAAATGTACGTACAGAAATGCATGTATATGTTTGTATTGATGAATTAATGTACCTATATATTTGTATCGATAAATATACCGAAATATTTTGTATTAATGTACCTAAATGAAGAACATATAAAAAAATTTATCGGACTATATATTATAAAAAAAATTAGTTTCCTAAATGTAGATATTAAATATATTATGATAAATGAAATAAAAATTAAATTTAAATGTAATTAATACATTAAAAAATTAAAATAGGAATAAAAAGATAAATAAAGCATCAAAATAAAACTAATAAATGAGATGATTAAATGTACTAGGGTCTAAAATTGAATTTTAATCTTACACAAGATTATAGTCTAAAACTGATCCTTTTTAAGGATTAAAATGAAATTTTCTATTAGAAGGGACTCTCATCTTAATTTCAAGTATTTAAAACGGCAAATCTTTTTGAAATCTCATTTGTTTGACTATTTGAGGATTAATTGCTGTATTTTCTTTGTTCCTTAATGTTTAGTTGTGTAAGTGGGCCACAAGCATTTACTATAAAATTGTAAGTCATAGAGTTTTCATTCAAAACTTGCATTGGTGGCCCTCTCTAAAGTGGGATTCTGCATGAATTTTTCGCCACTTCATATTTTTGGCATAATTTTCATGACAATATTATAAAGCATTGTGCAAAAAATATAAGGTGGCAAAGAATTCATAAAGAGTCTCTCTTTGAGAGTTTTCTTATCATTGGAAACATAAATGGGATTTTCTTTTTCTCCCTTTTTTTTTTTTTTGGGTGTGTGTGGAATCGCCAATATTTAATGGTTGTTAGATGAGCTTGATTTAATTTAGAGTAATATTAGGTAGACCAAATTTTTAGACTCAATTTGTAAACAATGTGATGTGTCACCAATGGAAATTAAATACATTAGTCAACACATTAAGCCACTAATCAATTATCACGTCATATGATTTACAAAACTTGGTATAAATAGTTGGCTTCCCTAGCATTACCCTATAAATTAATAATATAAGAATATCAAAATTTAAATTCATCTAATGAAAAATAATACAATGCTAATGCTCAATTTAAGAAGAAGATTTTCAATGTACCCGGAACATGTCAAGTGTCATAATACAATTGGTTAGAATTATTCTTTTAAGTTTTCAACTAATTATATTACTACACATAATGTATCAAGCCGTATTTCCAATAACACTTAACACAAGGTGAATACCGATGGTGTAGCTCGTGAATCACCAGGATTGGCTTGTATTGGCGATATCTTTCGTGATCGTTTTGGTTCATGTGTAAGGTGTTTTGCTACTTCTTTAGGGATGGCTACCTCTTTTGAAGCTGAACTACATGTTGTAATTCATGCAATAAACTTAGCTAGGGAAAAAAGTTGGCGTTTCCTTTGGATTGAGTGTGATTCGTCCTTGGCTGTTCTTTTCATTTCTGCTTCTAATAATCGTGTTCCCTGACGTTTGAGGGTTTGTTGGTTGAATTGTTGAGCGTTGCGCTCTTCTATGTCCATAAGAATTACACATATTTTTTGTGAAGGGAATTAGGTGGCTAAATGTTTAGCAAATTTTGGAGAGAACCCATCCTGGGGTTTATTGGTGGGAATCTTGTCCTCCTTGTGCTATTGTTACGTATCATCATAATCTTTCTCTTCGCCCCAATTTTTGATTTTGTTATATAGGATGGGTTTTACCTTTTTTTTTTTCCTTTTTTTTTTTTTGTAATTGGGTTTTCTTGTTTCAAGCAGTTTTGTATTTCTTGTTTTTGGCTTCAAAAGTTGTTTTTATTAGGTATTGGCCAAGTTCCCCCAGCTTGTATTACTTTTCCTATTTTTTCTCCATATTCCCCTAATAAAATCTAGTAGAGAGGGAACGGGAGGGGGATTTCTGGTGCAACGGTCCTTTCTCCTTCAAGATAGGGTTGGTGTCACACACACGACTGTTGACAAAGAGCTAATCTCGCCTAATCCGTCTCTAACAAATTAAAAATTAATAATACTAATAACGCTTAAAATTGAGCCTAGTGGAAAGTTCCCCATGGGAGAAGTCAAGTTCCGGTATAGGTTCTCAAGGTACTACATTTTCTTGGCTTGTAGAAAATGGCAAGACGAGATAACAAAAGTAATGTAACACGAGAAAATAAGAGCCATTTCATCTCCATCTCCAGCAGTCAGAGGAAGTGGAATAACAAGAAATTAGTTCAGTGAATGCCTTCAACTTAACAGGCGGTGCCCAAAAAACCATCACGGGGTGGCTAAGTGGTTGGGTGCGAATTTCAAGCTCGTATTTTACATGGCACGTTCTGGATTTGATTCTTGGCGCTAATAAGTCACACGATGGTGGCTAGGAGAGATATTGAACTGTTGTCATAAAGCCACCAGCCAATCCTTGTTTATTACAAAAAATACAAGCGGTGCCAACAATATAATTTACTCACTCAAATAGTGAAGGTTTCACATTACATCAAAATGTGGATCACATAATTTTATCACATGTTTTTAAGTTTTAGGGATTTTCTATTATACTCACGTGCATTCTATACTCCAAATTTTAACGGTATCCTTGGTCAAGATACAATGAACAAAATTCAAACGGTTCAAAAACCCCCACCATAGAATTTTTGTTAAGATTAAGGCTTAATCAAAAAGGTCCATAAAACATCACAAAAAACTTACTATACCCCCTCGTTTTACAACTGAATCACTTATTTCCCAATTCATTCTATATCTCTCAGCACATCCCGATCCAGCAATTTCGTGCTTACTTAGGAATCACAAGTAAGCCAAGTTTATAAGGAATTAAGTGGTAGAATATTGATTAAAAAAATCAGCAGAGTGAATGATTTAGGTATGGAGTTGAACTAGGTGTGACGGCGGAAGCACTGGACATGTAAGTGTACGCAGGAGCACAAGTTAATTAAACCTTAAACGGGAACTGATTAATGATTAATTTGGTTTTATTTTTCGGTTGACTAATGCGCACAATATGTTTTTAGGTAGTGTATAATCAAGAATGACAACCACTGGAGTTTTTTAGTTCACTTAATTCACTCAAAAAATCCTTCACTCCTTGAAACTCGGTTGAGTTGGATTTTAAGCTAACAAAATTTACAAAAAATCTTGACGGTATGTGAGAATTTGATTTCACACTAAAACCCCACCCCCAATTTCTAATTTAATTTATCCAAATTGAATCTTGGATATGATACCAAAAACCTTCAAATTAAAGAATATTACAGCCTAATTCATACAATAGAAAGAGAGAAATCAAACAATTAAGAAAAAGTGAATACCTTGCAGGGTGCTTGTGCGTGTGCGAGGGGGAGTCTGTCGGCAGAGTGGCTGCGGAGCGGTCGAAGAGCAATAGTAGAAGATGAAGGTCAAAGCCTTCTTTTAACTCTCAGAGCGTACAAGAGTCTCTAAGTTTTATTTGGTTATTCAATAGTTTGGACTTGTCATGGTTCCATTCCTGCCTACATTTTTTGAAGAATCTGATAAAGATAAAATCAAACCAACTAGAAGTCTATGCCCGTATTTTTCAAGTATAATACACGTTTTTTGACTAATACAAACCTATTGTTTGAAGAGAGATTTTTCTTTTCTTTTCATTTGAATGGAAAAATGAATGAGTGTAAACTGAAAATTTAGGAATTACTAGAAAATGTGTCTGCGCTTCGTTTTGGGAATTGAATGTATTAGTTGGAACATGAATGAATAGTTTCTACATAGGGTAACTAAAATGACGGTACAGTACCCAAGAACCAATGAAAGAAACATTCATTTGCAGATCGTATTGCGCCATCAATATCATACTCATAGTTTCAAGTAATCAGTCCATTCCATGCTGGAAAAACATAGAAAAAGGAAAACACAAAAGTAGAAGACTCAATACTTTAGCATTCGGCAAGAATAGCAAGCTAGCGAAAAAATTGTTAAACCGTCTCACAAATTCAATCGCCAAACGTTATACCATAACCCAAGACAAAGATAAAGCATATAGTTTGTTTACAAATCAAAACGAAGCGCTACCATAATGTGGGACTGAAAAATTGCTTCTTAATGCGGTCTTGCAAGAAATTAATGCAGTCCGAAAACAACCCAGGAAAAAATGGCTACTTCTTGATTTTCAGGCAAAGTCCCCTACAGCGGAAGAAGTATGGAATTTTTTATGAAAGAAGAAAAAATCCCTTTATTTTTTAACAGGGAAGATAAATTATCTTATTTATCAAGAACAATGCACTTGCATGGATGGGTCGTCTCCTTATAAACACGGCCAAATCCTCCCTCTCCGACTTTATTAGTATCAGAGAAGTTGATTGTTTAAGCTGAAAAGTGGCAGTTGATCAGTATCGTGGATCCAGCACACTCCCTTCATTTCTCACAGTTTTCTTCATTAACAGATATCCAAAAATGGTTGCAAGAATTCCTGCGGTTGTTGAGACAATTGCAATGACTATTACAACTGATCGTTGCTTCAAGAGAATTTCAACATGACCCTTGCAACCTGCGGTGAAAAGGAAATGATCAAGTTGAACAATAAAAATGAAGTGTCCAAAAAAATTAAAGAAAAACTAACGAAAAATCCTCAAAAACTTTAGTTTTAATGAAAAATGATAAATAAAAGTGTAAGTGAATGGTATTAGGAAAGGTAAAAATGTCATTTTTCGTTAAAAGTGAATAGTACCGGAAGTGTTTCGTTAAAACTCTCAAAAATTAATTTTGGTAACCTTGTAGCCAAAGTAAATGACTTTTGCTTGATTTAATGAAACCAAAATTTTGAACATACCGTCACGATCATTGGAGTCAACCTCATGAACACGAATATAAATGTCTTGCCCGAGAGTTTGATTCTCGACAAGATCCACCAAGTCACCGTACCATGTTATACATCTCATAGTACTAATTTTCGATGGTTGGACATAATGAATTGAAGAAGTCAATAGCAAAAATTTAGGATGTTTGCATGGGAGTAAAAATGGGTTGTGAATATCACTTTCCTTCCTTTATTCTTTGTTCTTTAGCGGCTGTTCGAGATTGATTTTCGAATGACAAAATGTTTTCAACAACCAAAAGCAGTTTTAATTATGTTTGGCAAAAAAAACTATAAGTGCTTTATGAGTATGATTTTTGAAAAAAAAAAAAAAAAAAAAAACATCTGGTAAACATTTGGCATGTATTTCTTTAGAAATTTTTTTTTTTATTTTGATAAAGTAGCTATAGTAGAACTGTAGAAGTTCACAACAAATCTTTAGTGTATCAATTTTAGTTTAAAGTTTAGAATTGCTAATTATTGGAAGAAAGCATGGGTGTATGGTGATGGGTGTATAGTGACAGAAAGCATGGGTGTATGGTGACCTTTACTTTTCCATGTTTTCTGGGTGTATAGTGACAGAAAGCATGGGTGTATGGTGACCTTTACTTTTCCATGTTTTCCTCACCTTTACTTTTCCATGTTTTCTGCTTGTCCTCACCTTTCTTTCGGCTTCTGTTTTCTTTTTCCTTCTTCCGCTCATTTATATGAGCTTTCCTTGTACTTGGTTTTACATAATACAAAAATATAGACATTCAAAATTCAATATGGTATCAGAGCAGTGACCCTAACCGGCCTGTCTCTGTGATGTTCTCTTGAGAGATTTGTGAGCTTCTTGTCCTTCAATCATGGCTGAAGAAAGCTTAGTAAATTTGGAAGGAGACGGCTTTCATGCTACTCCACCATCACCACACTCAGATATTGATATCAACCCAAATCAACGTCTTAGTTCTGTCTTGCTAAATGAGTTTAACTATCTTCCATGGGAGAGAGCAGTTTCTCTTGCTCTGGGAGGACGATCAAAGCTTGGTTATGTTAATGGTGTTATTCCAATGCCTGAGACTACCTCACCGGAGTATGATGCTTGGCTATGCAAAGACCAGTTGGTCATGTCGTGGCTACTCAATTCCATGGATCGTAAGATTGGAGAAATTTTTAGCTATGCTGAATCCTCCATGACTCTTTGGAAAAATCTCAAGGAAATGTATGGAAATCAGAACAATGCGGCTAGAGTGTTTCAGTTAAAGAAGGACATTGCTGGTTTGCAACAGGAAGGGAAGCCATTTGTGCAACATCTTGGAAAGCTGACCACTATGTGGAACGAGCTGAATGTGTATCGACCACACACCATCGACGCTGCTGTGCTAACTAAAAGAGCCGAGGAAGACAAAATATTCCAACTCCTAGCAAGCCTAAGTCCTGAATTCGAAGATCTTCGAAGTCATATCCTCATGAATCCCGACCTGCCTTCTTTTTCAAGTGTGTGTGCCACAATTCAAAGAGAAGAGGTTCGAAGGAAAGTCATGACCTTGGACATGAAGGCAAATATACCAGAAGCTAGGGCTTACTTCTCTAACCAAAAACTTGGTGAGGAGAGAGGCTACAAAGGAAAGAAAACTGGCTTAAAATGTAGCCATTGTGATGCTGGTGGGCACTCAAGAGATCGATGCTGGATTCTTCATCCAGAGTTAAAACCAAAGTTTCCTAGGGATAACAAAGGTGTCTCGAAAGGCTCGTACAACCCTTCTTACAAGGCAAATCATGTTGCCACAACTTCTTCTGATGGAGCACTGAAGTTCACCACTAATCCAGCTGCACTGATCAACGAGTTTGCTATGTTTCTTCACAAGAAACAAGGTCTTGGAGATAGTGAAGGACCACTAAATCAGTGTGCAACAATCAAACTGCACTACTAGGACAGTTTGCTGGCTTCTTGGCTGGAAATGAAGGCGTGGTACAAAGGGACATCCCAGGCATCTTACACTCCTTCTCAACTGCTCTCAACATTGGTAATGTGCATGATTATTGGATTATAGATTCTGGAGCCACTGATCATATGACTAACAAGTCTACAAACTTGCATAAATTTGAAAAATTTTCTATTCCATCCCAAGTGTCAGTTGCCAATGGAAAAAATGCTATGGTTGTGGGAAAAGGAAAAATACATTTGATCTCAAGTGATGTCGAGTCTGAGGCTCTTTATGTTCCCTCATTCCCTTTTCAACTTTTATCTGTTAGCAAGATCACAAACTCATTAAATTGTCTTGCCATTTTCTCTCCCAAAAATGTGATCTTTCAGGATGTAGTCACCAAGAAGACGATTGGTGAAGGATTTTTCTTAAATGGTCTCTACTATCTTTCCAAGCATATTCAAGTTCCCAAGGTTTTTCAAGTCACTTCAAGCTTAGCTCAAGAACAACAACTTTGGCACCAACGTCTAGCACATCCTTCTGAAAAAGTTCTATCCACCTTGTTCCCAAATATGTGCAAAGTTACAAGTCCTTGTGATGTTTGTCATTTTTCTAAGTTTACTAGATTACCATTTACTTCCTCTTTGTCTAGGGCTAGTAACCCTTTTGAAATTGTGCATTCCGATGTTTGGGGACCAACTATAGAGTCTTTTGATGGATACAAATATTTTGTAACTTTTGTGGATGATTTCACAAGGATTACTTGGTTGTATCTTTTGAAATTTAAAAGTGAAGTGATGGAAGTTTTTCAAGATTTTCATAGACTTGTGGCCACCCAATTTGCTTCAAAAATTCATATTTTACGATCAGATAACGGCACAGAATATATGTCTCATAACATGTCACACTACTTGAGCACGCATGGTATATTACACCAAACAAGCTGTGTTGGAACACCTCAACAAAATGGGGTGGCCGAGAGGAAGAATAGAGATCTACTTGAGAAGACTAGAGCTCTTATGTTTCACATGAATGTGCCTAAGAAGTTTTGGTCTCAAGGAGTCCTTACTGCGGCATATCTCATCAATAGATTGCCTAGTAAAGTGTTGAATTTTAAATCACCTTATGAGGTCTTGAAAAATAGAAAGATCAACTTTTCCCATTTGAGAGTCTTTGGGTGTACATGCTTTGTTCACATTCAAACTCAAAATCGTGACAAGCTAGACCCAAGGGCTGCCAAATGTGTCTTTCTAGGTTATTCATCTACCCAAAAAGGTTACAAGTGCTATAATTCAACAACTAGAAAAATGGTTGTTTCAAGGGATGTTAAATTTGAAGAACATGTTCCTTACTTCTCACAATCACTGGATTACTCTAGACAGGGGGAGCATTTGATGGACTTATTTCCTTTTCCATATCCAAACGGAGAAGATGCAACATGCACTCCTAGTGATCATGTGCCGGATGATGTTAACCTTCACTCGGTGGAACATCTTGAAGATGAAAACCCTTCCTCATCAGAGATTCACACTGCACCCTCCAGTGATCCTTCCAACCATGATGTTGTTCAAATACCTGTAGTTCAATCTCCTACAGTTCGTCGCAATCCTGCACGAGAGAGGAAACTTCCATCCAAGTTGCATGATTATGTGACCTACACTGCCAGGTATCCCGTGACTGATGTTATTGATTATAGCAAAGTCTCATCTTCATTTGCTACATTCCTAAGTGCCATTAATGAAGCTCGAGAACCTCAAAGTTTTCAAGAAGCCAATCTTCACAGTGAGTGGAGAAATGCCATGGCAGAGGAGCTTCAAGCCCTCCATGAAAATAACACATGGACTATAGTGAAACTTCCAAAAGGAAAGAAGGCAGTGGGGAGTCGTTGGGTGTACAAAACTAAGTTTCATTCAGATGGCACAATCGAAAGGAATAAGGCTCGCTTGGTTGCTCGAGGTTTTACACAAACCTATGGCGTCGATTATAAAGAGACATTTGCTCCGGTGGCAAAAATGAACACTGTTAGAGTATTGTTGTCGGTTGCAATTAACAATGCATGGCCTCTCTTTCAAATGGATGTTAAAAATGCTTTCCTGCATGGTGAACTTGAAGAAGAGGTTTACATGAAGCTACCCCCAGGTCATCCTCAATCAAACAATCCAGAAATGGTGTGCAAACTCCATAAATCCATTTATGGTCTCAAGCAAAGTCCACGTGCATGGTATGCCAAGCTCAGTCATGTTCTGGAAAGGGTTGGTTTTTGTCGAAGTATTGCGGATTCTTCCCTATTTGTTCGTTCCAGCTTAGTGGGTAAACTAGTTGTGCTCATTTATGTTGATGATCTAATTGTGACAGGTGATAATATGTCAGAGATTAATGCTCTTAAACAGTATCTCAACAACAAGTTTGCTATCAAGGATCTTGGCACTCTCGAATACTTTCTGGGCATCGAGATGGCACACTCTCACAAGGGTTTCTTCCTCAACCAACACAAGTATGTCATGGATCTTCTTCACGAAGCAAAAATGACAGATTGCAAGCCTGCTCGTACCCCCTTGGATAGCAACTTGAAGCTAAAAACTCACTGTGATCCAGTTCCCAATTTAAGTTACTATCAAAGAATGGTTGGCAAACTCATTTATCTGACTATCACACGTCCTGATATATCATATGCTGTCAGCATTGTTAGCCAGTTTATGCACTCTCCAAGCATGGATCATTTGAAGATTGTTCATCGTGTGCTACGTTATCTTAAGGGTTCCATTGGTAGAGGAATTCTTATGCGCAACAATAGTCACACTCAGATCTCAGGCTATACTGATGTTGACTGGGCAGGCAATTCTCTCGATCGCAAGTCTACCACTGGGTTTTGTACGTTTGTGGGAGGCAACCTAGTTACCTGGAAAAGCAAGAAACAAAGTGTTGTTGCACGCTCTAGTGCAGAGGCAGAGTATCGTGCTATGGCGTCCACTGCTTGTGAACTTATTTGGCTCAAAAGCCTTCTGTTGACTTTAGGTTTTCCTCATCAACAACCCATGTCCCTACACTGTGATAATCAGGCCGCGATGCACATTGCATCGAATCCTGTATTCCATGAGCGAACTAAACATATTGAAGTTGATTGTCACTACGTCAGAAATCAAGTTCAGTCCAAGGTGATCGACACTCACTACACGCGCAGTCATGATCAACTTGCGGATATTTTCACAAAAGGATTACCCTCTGCTGATTTTCAACGTCTTTTGTTCAAGCTTGGATCAATTAATCCCTTTGATCCAGCTTGAGGGGGAGTATTGGAAGAAAGCATGGGTGTATGGTGATGGGTGTATAGTGACAGAAAGCATGGGTGTATGGTGACCTTTACTTTTCCATGTTTTCCTCACCTTTACTTTTCCATGTTTTCTGCTTGTCCTCACCTTTCTTTCGGCTTCTGTTTTCTTTTTCCTTCTTCCGCTCATTTATATGAGCTTTCCTTGCACTTGGTTTTACATAATACAAAAATATAGACATTCAAAATTCAATACTAATGAACGTGTTATGATATATATGTAGCATGTAGTTCAATATCCTAATAAATAGGACATTCGTTTTTACTTGTATCACTAAGTGATTCCACGCCACACTTTCCCTAGTGGTTTAAAAGATCGCTTGGATAACATGCTAGAATATGAACATCTATGACCATCTAACTCGATATCAATTTGCAGTTGGTGAAGATCCGCATATCTTTTAAGTTCTTTATGCTAGGCCTCCGTATTTTGAGCATGCTTCCTCATCTGTGACTTCTTTTTATGCCTTATATGTGGACGATATTATATATATGTGATGTGGGAGCACGTGAAATCATTGGTGCAAATTATAGTAGGTTTCATGCTTAATTTGAGTTTACATCTTTTAATTGATACTATAAATTTCTATGGATAATGCTAGGGAGATTAAATTTGCAAATTAAATAATGAGTCACTAATATAAATGAGCACGTTTATCTACGCTTAAGTAATAAACTGATTATCAACTTCCATGTCCTTTAATTTCCAAAATTTAATCTTTCTAGCACTACTCAATTTCTATTTGTAATTTCATGAAATTAGAGTTTGTGTGATGTTTCAACAATTTCCATAGAATTTAATGCATCTTTATGTGTTTAATTCATCTAGATGCAAGAGCTATGACTATTAAATACCATATGCCATGACTATTAAATACTGTAAAAAGCCTCTTTATAGTAATTATAAAATTCAGACCAAATCAATTTTATTATTGTAAAGGTTGTTTTTTTTTTTTTTTTTTTTCAATGAGACAACTAGTGGCAAATCATAGTTATTCACCTTGTTCAGGTCCGGAGAGGCTATGGGGAATTTCACTCTACCCGTGGCCACAGTCAAGCAGACTCACCAGTTTGAAGCATCGAATCCAGGACCTTCACATTTTTTTGTTTATTGGGAAGTTGTAGTCCTTGTTCTTACTACTTGGCCACTTATTGTGATTTATTGTAAGAAGGTTATTACTTAATAAAGACGTAGTTATAAAACTAACAACAAGTAATGTGCGCTTTAACCATGGGTTGCTGATGGTTTAGCAGTTTGATTTTTTAACCGTCCTAAATAAGTATGCTAATTTTGTTTTGATTTTCATTCTATTTGTATTTTAAACCAATTTTGGTTGTCTATTTTATGCTATTTGTCTCTTAATTATAATTTTATATAATTTTCAAAATTAAGTGTTTTTCGTAAATATTATGTTTAGGGGCTTTATTTTTGCTCTTTGTTTCGCTATCTTAGTTTCAGTATTTGTTTTTGTATTCTTTTTTTGTCATAGGTTTTAATACATGATTGAGTTTTGAAGTTAACTTCGACGAAGTTGTTACTTGGTCTCATTATTGCGAAGATGATGAAAGTGGTGTAGGCTAACGCAACAATTATTTTATGTTGAACTTCAAGCATGTGTGACGCTTTTTTTTCTGTAGCTATCTCGAAGTTTTGTCCCATTTGATTTGATTTTTTTTTTTTTTTTTTTTTAACGGAGACCTGCATCACTAGCGTACTTCTAGCTTGATGTCTTCTTTCTTGGAAGACTTTGTACTTTATAATTAGCTGCACTGGTATGCATTTGTACGACATTTTGTTAAACCTTGTTATATTAATCAGGCCGCGTATGTTTTAATTAAGATACAGATTTAGTTTTTAATATTCATGTTTGAATTTTAGATGGATTTTTCTATGTACTATTGTATAATGTTTAATAAAGCATCTTATTCAATAAAAAAAAGTTTTAAGACAGCATTTGCGTTTTCATGAGATGAGAACTGGTCTAGTCGGGTTGCACAATTTTCTGCCCTGCCCACCCTTAATTGGAAAAGCATAATAAATAAATATATCAGTATACCTAATTTCTTTTTCTCTAGGAATCAAATGCATAATATACATACATACATACACACATATATATATATATATATATTAGCAAGTATAATTTCTTTGTTTCGCTATACCTGAAAATTACAATGATCAAGATACACGTGAAATCTGAGCAAAAGATGAAAGAGTGAAGGAAGAAATATGCAGTGAAACGATGAGGGGAAGAATAGTATATGGTGGGCTGTCATTATTAGGACAGGATGAGCTGAGGCGACCTTGATTATGTCGTTGCAAAGAGGGGAAGACATGTTGGACCAACCTTGAACTTGGCAATGTAAAACAGCCATGGCTTCTGCAGATTGTCAAACAATTCAATGTAAAGAGACAGTTCAATGAATTAATTCGCTGGTCAAACACAAAAATATGAGAATCTAAAAGTCAGATCTAGCCGCAAAATTTTATAAGCCATGCAGGTCCACCACCAAATTACTGATTTATTCCAAATTAACTACTTATTATACGTGTTAGGTTTTATTATAAAAATTCTCGATGATATTAGGGGTGAAAACTCCGAAATTGATTGTATATTATTTTATCATCCGAGGGATGTGGGAGACATAGATTCATTTGGACATGCACCTCAGATATATATGTCAGTGAAGTAAACCCTAAAACATGATTCCTGGAGATTGATACATTAATTCCATTCAAATGAAACAAGAATCATCTAGAGGATTAATGTTTTGTGCATGCATAAGGTTGCTAGGGTAGGTGGTCGAAGAGATTTAGCTTCTTAAAAAAATATTTATGCACACAAACAAATTAATGAACCCTAACTCTCGGTCATCAAGTGGAATATGAGCATGAGAAAAAAAATTGAATGAAGAAGTTGATTAGTATAACTTATCACTTTATACATTGAGCTGGTGATATTTATATTCACTTATAAGTGAATTTCAATTATCGTGAATACCAATTTTTTTTTCTCCCTTTTTAATTAATGTAAATATATAATTGTATTAAAATATACTATAACTAGGTAATATGCGCAGAAACTTACAAACATTTGTAACTTCAATAAAAACAACAAAGCTTACAATATTACTTGCTCCTGAGGTTCTAAATTTAAATTTCCTTCGACAAATAGGGAGAGAGAAATATAAACAAAATAAAACAAGTCAAAATTTCATTTAGCGGTGGATAAGTAATTCAACTTAAATCGCTAAAAATATAATTAAACAAAAGGACAATACTTGGGTACTGCCTCTTCAGTACCACAAGTATACTGACTCTGACGTGGCCCACTAACAGACATACACGTATATCTTTCTAAAATACCGACTATTCTTGCAACCAAACAACTATCATCTCTCTGACTTCAGCCATGGAGAAACACATTCCCATTTTCACAGACCACTTTAATGGCCTTCCTCCCAGAAGCCAAGTTTCGAACCTTCCTCTTTGTTGCCCATATTCACCATCCTCCTCTTACCAACCCCAATGGCCTTAGATTTCTGTACTATTGGTAGATTTTTCATTCACAATCAATAACGTATGATCCCAGATCAGTGGGGCGGGTCTTTTTTTCTCCATGTTTGTGGGTTGGGAATGGGATTAACGGAGGAGAGTTGAAGAAGGGATAACGGTGGGGACGACGAAGGAGGGGGTGGGAATGGGATCGACGGGGAAGGGAGTGGAGTGGTATCGACGGGAAAGGAGATGCGGTTGGGATGGACGGAGGAGAGGTTGAGGGAGAAGGTGTGGGGATGACATTGGCGGGAAGCGGTCTGGGCCTGGGAAAGATGTAAGGAAGAAGATGGGTGTTTGGATATGGGTTGAAGATAAAGTTAGCTGTCTGGTTAACAAGATAACAAGTGTTCGGAGATCTAAATGACAGGTGTTTTAATATTATTGGGCCATGTCATTGGGTGTGTATTTTGGGTACTGAACGGAGGATGAAATCACCATCTTATTCTCACATGTAACACTTATGTGCATGTAACACTCATGTGCATGATACTAACAAAGAAATGATAAAAATTTTAATTTTAGGTATAAATTCTGACCGACTTATATGTTTAAATCCCTTTTTTTTTTTTATCACAGAGCTACCGAATACTTTATGATCACAGAGATTATTTATCCGATTAGACGTAGTATTATTTTCTTTTTCTTTTTTCTTTCTGTTCCGTGCTCTTCCTGGCGAACGGGGCGCACGCACAGCCACAACTTCAAGGAAGCAAGAAGAATCGCAGGTCGTTGCTTCTAACCTTTGCGAATTCAGGTATGGGTATCCTCTTCCTTGATTATTTGGGCGATTAGGAGAGTGGGCTCAACGATTTGGGTTATGTTTTTCAAATTCTAAAGGTTAAATTGACTGGGTTTTGATTCAAAAGGGTTCTGGTTCGAATGGGTTCAGCAATCTGGTATTTTTCAGGTATGGGTCTGCTCTTTGTGAACCCAGAAAATGCAAATCGAAGCAGGTGGCGGAGACTCAAATCCTCCCAATTTTCCAAAAAACTAGAAAGTTAAAAGAAAAAAAAAATCTCAAATCCGTATTTCAAATATAATAAACCAATATTGAGTTTCTATTGTGAACCAGAAAGATTGGGACCGAAAAAATCAGAAGGGAAAAAGAAAGGGAAGCGGAAGAAGAAGAAGGGAGGGGAGCCCTGGAAAGAACCGGTTATCTGAAGGGTGGAAGCGAGTGTAGCTTCATTGCTCTGCAGCACAAGAATTACCAAAGACATTGTTGATCGAACAGTTGGAGCTTCTTGAACACCCATAAACCCTATATGGATACACGTCAAAGCTTCATCAAGCCAGCATATTTCCCTAATCGATTCATCAATAACCTCCATTCCACCTCCTTCTTTACATAATTTTTGTTAAGATTAAGGCTTAATCAAGAGCTTCATAAACCATCGCAAAAAATTTACCTATGCCCCTTCCTCGTTTTACAACTGAATCACTTTTTCCCCAATTCATTCCATATCTCTAATCATTTCCTTGAAATGACTTAAAAGCATTTTTGATGAAAATATTTTTAGGATCAACCATTAATAAAGATACAAATAACTTCTAAAAAAACAATTAAAGTGTTTTCTTAAAGAAGCACATAATTGCAGAAAACACTTTAAATGTTTTTGAAACCCAAAATAATTTCTCTAAAAACGTTTTCAGTCATTTTAAAAGCACAACCAAACGAGCCATTTATCTGTTCTTTTTATTTTTTATTTTTTATTTTTATTTTTATTTTAAAGAAACGATAGTAGTATTGTATTTCAAGAAGTTGCAAGTTACAAGAGAACCAAATTATGGCTGGGGGTCTCCTCGACCAGTAAGTCAAGAATGAATACCGGTGGGGATTCAACCCAATTACAGTCATGGGAAAGCGAAGGACCATAACGAGCGAGTCGGTGGGCAACTCTGTTAGCTTGATGGTGAACATGGGTAAGAGAGACTTCAGTGATTGTCAAAAGCAGCGCTTTGTTGGAGTAACTGTTATGTTTGAGAAGAAGAACAAACTACTTGAGTTCCCATGCTAAAATATTACATGTATATAAACCATCAACCTCTGAAATTTGTAGCTTGCAACTTGCAAGGCTTAAAAATGTGGAATATATAAACTATGCTTTCTAATACTTACCCGACCAGCAAGCGTCACGGAATCTTCAAAGATCTTCCGTCTTTGTATAAAACAGATACATTAGAGCACTTACTGTGTGCATCAGTTTGATGATTTGATCCATCCCAAAGATCTTCCGTCTTTGTATAAAACAGATACATTATAGCAAAATCAAGGATCTTCCGACATGGAAAAGAAGAGTTGAATGTCGAGTTTTTTCTTAAGGTTTACACACACACACACACACACACACACACACACATATATATCTAATTTTTACGTTCACAAACGAAACATGACTGAACCCCTATCGACCTTCTGGCAAACTAACGGTGAGTTCATTGTTCGAAAAACTGGCAGGTGTTTGACGAGAAGAACCAACAGCACAGGCACTCTTATGTATTACGAAAGCAGGTTCTTTGAAGGGTGGAAGTGATGTAGCTTCATTGCCTTGCATCATACAAATTACCGAAGACATTGTTGGTCGATCAGCTGGAGCTTCTTGAACACACAATAACCCTACATGGATACACCTCAAAGCTTCATCACGTTGGCACGTTTCCCTTAACGATTCATCAATAACCTCGATTCCTCTTCCTTCTTGCCATAACTTCCATGCCTAAGGAAAATAACATGCATGTATATAAACGCATCATTCTTGCAAGGCTTAAAAAAGGAAGGGATATAAACTAGGATTTCTAGTACTTACCCATCCAGCAAGTGTAAGCGGATCTTCAGAATCATGAAAAGCAGAATTCCGCTTTCCGCTCACAATCTCTAAGAGTAACACTCCAAAGCTAAACACATCTAATTTTTCTGAAAAACGGCCATAGAGGGCATACTCAGGCGACATGTAACCACTGCATGAATGGTAGAGAAGTCAACATTAAAGACTGCATAAGATTTACATATGAAGGAAACATTGTAACTTACAATGTCCCAACAACCCTGTTTGTATTTGCCTCAGTTTGATCCATCCCGAAAATTTTTGCCATCCCAAAGTTTGAAATTTTGGGTTTCATTGTTCCATCCAACAGAACGTTGCTTGCTTTTAGGTCCTTGTGAATGATTTTCAATCTAGAATACTTGTGGATATAAAGTACTCCTTGAGCAACACCTTCTAAAATTCGAAAGCGTGTACGCCAATCCAGTTTTGTCTTTTCAGATGAATCTAATTGCACAAACCGTAAAGAAGAATGATTTTAATGTTGCAAAAAGGCAATAAAATGTGATGCTCTGGAAATCGACAATATGAAAGAATTAATGGTAGAAGTGGAGAGCATATACCAAACAAAAATTTGTCCAAACTTCGATTGGGCATGTATTCGTAGATCAATATCATTTCCTCTTCTTCAATACAGCAACCCAATAGCCTAACAAGATTGGTATGTTGGAGCTTGGCTATAAGCTTTAACTCATTCATGAACTCCTGATGCCCTTGCCCTGACTTCTTTGACAACCTTTTTATGGCTACTTCTTCATTTGCAATCAAAATCCCCTGTAGAGGATGGAAAATTCCAGAATAAAGGAACCGCTAAACTCCTTGACGATGACACTTAATTTGGGACCTCGATAAGAAATATTCAAAAGAAATGATGAAGCACTATTACTGTGCTAGCATGTAGTGCACACAGTGGAAGGGTCACCTTATAAACAGGACCAAATCCTCCCTCTCCGAGTTTATTAGTTTCAGAGAAGTTATTTGTAGCAGCTGCTATACTCCTTAAACTGAAGAGTGGTAGTTCGGGGTCATTCTTTCTGCCTCTAAGGCTAAAATTTCTTATAGACTCGCTTATGCTCCTTCCTACGCTCCCTGTTTGAGTCTAATTGTTATAGCACCATTCGTTTGTGTGTAAATTGGAGAGAGAGAGAAAGAGAGAGAGAGAGAGAGAGAGAAAGATGGTGGCGTGTGGTAGTACTACCTTCATTTCTCAATATTTTCGTCCACAATAAATAGCCAAAAATTATTGTAAGCAATCCTGATGTTGTTGAGGCTATTGGGATTACAAGGGACAGCTTATCAACATGACCCTTACCGCCTGCAACCAACAAAAAAGGCTTCATTTTCTGGCTAAATTTTATTGTCTCTTGTCTGCTAAGAATATAAATTGACACAGAAAGCAGCGAAAGAAACAAAACTAACATACCTTGATCAGAGCGGTGAACACGAATATACATGGTTTGCCCAAGCCAATGATTCTCTACGAGATCCATCAAGTCATCAAGCCATGTCAAGCATTTTACAGTCCCTCCTTCTATCACATTTGAATAAGCATAAGCTGTGCAAGAGCAGTTCCGTAGGCATTCAGATTCACACTCACTTGTACTCATATTTCCTAAAATAATAGCATGATCCGGCAGTTTCATTTTCTCAAACTTTTCAAACCCTTCCCCTTTATCACATGTCAATGGCTTTTCCGGAACACAACCACCGGGCCAGTCCCCCTGAGCCGATTGTTTATGTAATTCGGTCCTAAAACCTTTCAAACACTTGCATTGTGACGAGAGGGGATCACTGTTCTTATCACAGGCTCCATATGGACCGCATGCAGCATAAAAATCACATTTATTAATAGGTTCTTCCCATGCTTTAAACCATGTCTTAATTGTATCAAATTCAGTCCACAGCTGCAGATTTAACTCACCTGTTGGGCTCAAAACGACCCTCGGTTTTAGAGAGCTATTTGACACACCAAAAGTAAGATCAATCTCATTAGCATCGAAATTGTAAGAAAGGAACCCTCCACTTTGATTTCTAAGGTATCTTTTAACCTCCTTGCCAAACTGAACAGCACTTCTCCAATATGTAGCATTTCCCTTCCAAATAATTAGCTGCAGGGGAACTTTCGGATCAATGCCTGCGCTGAACATTCCGGGTTGTGGATCATCAAGTGCTGCCCAGGAAGTAAGACGCGATTGTTGGCCTGTTATTTTGTTCAGGCTAAGCTTCATACTGGGCAACAATGTGTCAGAGGGATGATGGAAGCTCTGCCACAAAACGTCTTGTACAAATATTAGTCGAAGGTTTCCACTATCCATCAATACAGCAGTTGTGGCATTCATTGCAGAAGCTGGTATCGATGCATTAGACGACCAGACTTGTTTTCTAGTCATCCCATCTAACACCACAAGATTTCCATCAGCGCCAAGCATCAAAACACCCGGAGAATCAAGTGGGGATCCTCTGTTGGCAACCCTTACTTTCGGTTTCTTTGGGATTGTGTTGTACCATATTCCAAGGAAGAATTTCTTAGAATTTTCAGGACTGAAGAAGCCTAATGCAAATGTTCCACCGGAAGAAATCAAGGTCTGGTCTGCGCTGAGAGATTCTTCTGGTACCAAGGTGTCTAGGCTTGTACAAACAGATGGAAGAAACATAAAAACACAAAGGATCCACCCCATTCAGCTACAGAGAGACAGAGGAGGAGGAGGCAGAAGAAGAAGAAGAAGAAGTGATCAGCAATAATTTGTCACCACAACTAGTGAAAGTACACACCCTATTGCGAATGAGCGTCATTACTTTAGTCTAAAGAAGGGTCTCAAATTGCACTGTTCAAATGAACAGTGTTTGGATCCGAATTTCGTTTTATTTACGGCCATGCCATTGCTTTAAAGAATGGTCTTTGTGGGTTTGGGCTCCGGGTGGGGTTTGTTTTGGTTGGCTACAATTGTTTTTGGCGGATGGGGATGGGGTTTGGGCACCGAATCACCGACAGAGAGCAGGGGGTGACCTGCTGATTGTTTAATTCATCAGCAGTTTATTGTTTTGCCCGGCGGAAAAGTCCAGCCTTGGCGTATCCTCTGACTCAAATTTAAAAATGGTTTCTTGACTGTTTAGTTTGTTAAACAACATCCTTTCCTACCTTCTAAAGCTCATTTTCTTTATTTTAGCTCAGACCAACTCACTCCACTCTCTCTCTCTCTCTGTGATTCTGGGTTCCGTTCTGCCATTTTTGCTTCTGAAGAAACCTAATTGCAGGTTTCTTTTCCATTTCCAAGCTTCTGTTATGCTTTGTGCTGCCGTATTTTCTGTTGTTGATGAGGCTCGATTGAAATATGCATCAACTTGATTGATTATGCTGCTGTATTCTCTCTCTGCATTTTTTCTTTTTCTCCTTTTAATGAGGCTTTATGCTGCTATACCAAAATGATGAAATATTCATTTTTAATGATAGTTTTATAATTGAGTATGTTTTAATTCGGAGTTTTAATTTGATCAGTGTGATTTTTTTGTGATTAGGATTTAGGACCTTGGTAACTTGGTTGATTAGGAATTTGTGTGTTTACCTCCTGATCAAACTTAGTTGGGAGCCATGAACACGAATATAAATATCTCGTTGCCCGACAATTTGATTGTCTACAAGAATCCATCAAGTCACCGTACCATATCTGTTTCGTTCTCGCACTTACATATGCATAAGCTGTGCGAGAGCGGTTATGGAGGCATTCAGATTTACACTAGCTCATAACTTTATTTTCTAGCATAATAGCATGATCTGGTAGTTTCACATCCTCCAACTTTGAGAACACTTCTCCGTTCGCACACCAGTACCTTTTCTGGAACACAACCACCGGACCAATCTAAAGAGGCACATATAGCACATATATAGTTTGTTGTATTTTGGTTACAAGTCTGTTACAACTGTCCATGTAACTAATTCCTAGATTAGTCAATTAACCAAGTGTAATTAGTTACTAAGCTATTTTTCACATGTATATATAAACTGGTTGTAATTTCTTATTCATTAAGAAATGAGAAATCCAAGAGTCATTTCTTATATGGTATCACTCGCCTCTTTGCTCACGCACCGATCCTAGCTTCCTCTGCAATCTTTGATTTCTCCTCCCAAATCTGTTTTCTCTTTGCAAAACCTTGATCGACAATGGCATCTTCTACTTCTTCGCCTACAAATCCAGAAGTTTTTGCTTAGATTCCCACTCCTCTTTCATCAAATTCCGCTCCGATAAACCCTAATTCTTCGATTTCTTCAATTTCCATCCAAAACATCAGTTGTATGGTTCCTACAAAGCTTAAGAGGGACAATTATCTCGCCTAGAAAGCTCTTTTTGCTCCAATTTTCCGGCGTTACAAACTTACAGGTATCATCGATGGATCGGAGTAATGTCCACCGCCTTTTCTTCTCAAACAATCCGGTATAAGTACTGCAGTTCATAACCCTGATTTCGAGATCTGGTTTGAAAAGGATCAAAATATCCTCATCTGGTTGAATTTCACTCTCTCTGAAGATCTTATTCCATTCACCGTCAGCGTCACATCGTCTCGAGAATTATGGCAGATTCTTGAACAGCGTTTTGGCGGAGTCTCGGCGGCGCACATTCACCAGCTCCGATCGCGTCTTCATGCGATTCAGAAAGGAGATTTGTCAATTTCTGATTATCTACAGCGTATCAAAGGCATCTCTGATGCTCTTATGGCTGCAGGCGCACCGGTGTCAGAACCCGATCTCATTGCTATTACCTTAAATGGCCTCTCTGATGATTACGAATCTTTCATTGATTCGATAATGCTTCAAATTTCATCTACTTCCTTAGATGAACTTCATGGATTACTCATGAACAAAGAGCTTTTCATGCATCGAAAGAAGAAAGCTCAGTCATCGTCTCTCACTGAACCATTTCAAGCATTTGCTGCTTAAGCTTCACCTCTCCAGCAAGGTCTCTTACCTACACCTCCTCCCTCACAAACATATGTTCTTCAACATTCTACCTACAGTAATCGCAACAATTTCCAACGCAATAATCATGGCTGAAGCAATTTTCAGAAAAATAATCGAGGCTGTGGCAACTATCGTGGAAATTATAACAACTCTGGCCCTGGTAATGGTTTCCTTTCATCATAATACTGGTAATTACAATTGCAATTCTGGTGGATTTAATCGTACTTCTGGACATCGGTCTCCCTGTCAAATATGCAATTCCTTTGATCATGAGGCTCTTGACTGCTATGCTCGAATGAACCATGCTTTTGCTGGAAAGATTCCACCTACCAAGCTTGCTGCTATGTGTGCCACTACTGCCTCTTCTTCTCAGCCTACATGGCTTTTGGACTCTGGTGCTACTGCTTATGTCACCAATGATATCTCAGCAATATCTTCTCCCATTCCGTACTCTGGTGAAGACAAGGTTTATGCTGGTGATGGCCAAGGTATGCCAATTCACCATACAGGTTCTTCTATTCTCCAAACACCACATGCTGCTTTTCGATTAAATAATGATCTTCATGTGCCACAGATGCAATTCAATTTGCTCTCTGCATATCAATTTCTAAGAGACAATTATTGCTATTTAACTCTTGATTCTGATGGTTCTATCATCAATGACCGTTCCACTGGGAAGATGCTTTTTTGGGGCCCAGTTAGGGATGGTTTCTATCCAATGCAAGGTCAGCCATTCCAAGCTTCATATTCTGCACTTGTTAGCACTCAAGCTTTTTTACAACAATGGCATAAACGACTCGGTCATCCTTCCATAGTTATTCTCAGAATGATTTTACATACACATAAGCTTGTTCCTCATACTTCAGCTTCTGTTCAGTTTTTTTGTGCAGACTATGCAATTGGCAAAAATCATAAGCTCCTATTTTCTTCTAGTACTACCACTGTCTCAAATAAGTTGGACTTAATTCATGGTGATGTCTGGGGTCCCTGTCCAGTTTCATCTGTTAGTGGCTATAAGTACTATGTACTCTTTGTGGATGAGTATAGCAAATACAGTTGGATGTTTCCTTTACAACACAAGTCCGAAGTCTTCTCTACTTTTGTGAATTTCAAAGCATATGTTGAAAACTTACTTGGCAATCAAATCAAGATTTTTCGAACAGACTCAGGGGGTGAGTTCACTGGTACTGCTTTCACTTCTTTCTTGCTTCAACATGGTATTTCTTATCAGTATAGTTGTCCACACACACCTGAGCAAAATGGGTGTGTGGAACGCAAGCATAGACATCTTACTGAGACTACACGAACACTTCTTGTTGCTTCCAAAATTCCTCACAAGTTTTGGGTAGAAGCTTTTTCTACTGCAATGTACCTTATCAATCGCATGCCTATTTCTGGATCTTCTCAGTCTCCATGGGAAATTCTTTTCAACAAGCCTCCTGATTATTCCAAGTTAAAAGTCTTTGGTTGCTGTTGCTACCCTTGGCTCAAGCCATATATGCAATCAAAATTGGATGGTAAAAGCAAACCATGTGTGTTTCTTGGTTATAGCCTTCAACACAAAGGTTATCGATGTTTAGATGTGTCTTCTAACAGAGTCTATATTTCACGGCATGTTCTCTTTAATGAAGATCATTTTCCATTTCATGATCTTTCTTCTCTTCAACGTAGCCCTTCAAAGTGTTCTTCTTCTGTCCCCTCTACTCCATCACCTGAGTTCTCCCTGCAATTTCCTCAGTCAAGCCTCCCTGCAACACAACCTTCTTCAGTGTTCTCTTCAGGACCATGCTCAGCTTCTTCCGAGACACCTCCTCCCCACCTTCTGTCTCTCAACCTCAATCTACACAGCCACCTCAAAACTCTTCTTCATCTCCCGTGCACTCTCCTTCTCCAACTTCAACAACTTCAGTTCCCACAAACACTCATCCTATGCTCACCAGATCTAAAGCAGGCATTTTCAAGCCTAAAGAGTTAGTAGCCACAAAACATCCGATTGATTCCAGTTCATTTGTGCCTACTACTTATTTGCAAGCCTCCAAGTATGATCACTGGCATAAAGCCATGCTTGAAGAATTTCAAGCTCTCCAATCCACAGGCACTTGGAATCTTGTACCTTCCTCTCCCAATCAAAACTTGGTAAGCTGCAAATGGGTTTTCAGGATCAAAAGGAAACCTGATGGTTCTATTGATCGGTACAAAGCTCGTCTTGTTGCTAAGGGCTTCCATCAACAAGAAGGTATTGATTTCAAGGAGACCTTCAATCCGGTTGCTAAACCTGTTACTATTGGCATTCTTCTTACAATGGCAGTGCAATATGATTGGTTTTTACACCAACTTGACATCAGCAATGCTTTTCTCCATGGCAATCTCCAAAAAGATGTTTTTATGCAACAACCCCCAGGTTTCATTGATCCCTTCAAACCCTCCTATGTTTGTAAACTTTAGAAATCCCTTTATGGATTGAAGTAAGCCCCTCGGGCATGGTATGATAAGCTGTTTCAAGCTTTGGTATCTCTTGGTTTCACAAACTCCAAATCTGATCGTTCCTTGTTTGTGAAACTTCAACCATTCCCTGTCCTAGTTCTTGTATATGTGGATGATATCTTGGTGACTGGTCCTAATACCTCTCTCTGTTAACATTTTATTCAGCAACTTTGTTCCTTATTTCCTATTAAGGATTTAGGTCCATTACACTATTTCCTTGGCCTAGAAGTTCACAGATCCGATGAGGGTATTTTCCTGTCTTAAAGCAAATGTGTTTTAGATCTATTA